CTTTCTTTCTTTCTTTCTTTCTTTCTTTCTTTCTTTCTTTCTTTCTTTCTTTCTTTCTCTTTCTTTCTTTCTTTCTTTTCTTTCTTTCTTTCTTTTTCTTTCTTTCTTCCTGTCCTTCCTTCCTTCTTTCTTCCTGCCCTTGACACAAACCCAGGCAGCCCATCAGAGTCCCTCACAGAGCTCCCTGATTTGGCCATCAAGTTCCCTCACCTGATACCCTTTCAGCTCCTGCTATACCTACAAGGTCTCCCCCAACCTCACCTGTCCATAATCATGGATATAGCACTAGGATGACTCCAGATCAGTCCTTGGGGGCCCTGATGGCATGGTTGCTGCTGTGATTGAGGGGGTTATAGCCCAGGGAAGTCAGGGGAGACATCCCAGAGAGCTGAGTGGAGGTACTGGAGGTGGTTCCCAGGCTGGGAAGGAGCAGCAAGCTCCAGAAGAGGAAGAGCCTGTGGCAGGGAGAGGCAGGAGGGAAGGAGCAGGCCATCCTTAGCTATATCGGGAACTCCTGGCCTCATACTGATCTTTGGGTACGTGAGCCTAGAGCAGATACAGTTCTTGCCTCATGGGGGGTAACATTTGGGTTGGGGAAAGGGGTCAAATGGCCAGGCCTCTGCTCTCTCTTGGGATCCCAGGATTTCCAAAGGCTTCTAAGGGTCCCCTGCTTCCAATAAGGGGTCCAACCATGTTATAGGATGGAGCTCCTGGCTGGGATGGCCTTTGTGCTTTAGAGTTGAGGAATTTCCTGCTTTTGCCTGAGCTTTCTTTTCAACATGCAGGTCTGGGCATGTAGGGTGGGGGGTCACATGAGAGATAGTGGCTGAAGGGAGAGGGGGCATGGGGAGGGGTACCTGGCTAGACTTTGCTGCTTCTGCCTACTCCATGGTCCCCTACCAGAACATGGAGCCCGAGGCCTTGAGCAGCATGTGGTTCTCTGTTTCAGAGGGCATACACCTGCTCTTGTTTATCCACTGTTGCTCACTTTCTTCGGAGACGAGGGATCTGTAGTGACGTAAGGAATTGAGACTAAAGGATCATCTGAAGTTCAGGCCAGAAGTTTGTTTGTGAGCATACGGTGCTCTCTGGGCCTGAGGAAGAGGGAGTGGGGTAGGGGCCCGGCATGGGGCTGGCTTAGAAGGGTGCAGTTATTCCCTCTCATGTGGAAATAAACATTTTGGATTGCTGATCATCTCCCTGGGGGCTAGCACACTGGTGAACAAAGTCAAAGTTGGTCCTGGATCTGCAGCTCTGTGTGCTCCAGGACAGGCTGGGGATGGCACTTCCCTTGAGGGCTATTTTCCTCTCTTCTTTCACAGCTGGTGCCCTGGTAATCATCTCTTCCATCTGAGGACAGATGGAGCAGATTGATTTGATTGAAAGGTTGGGGTTTTGTCAGGGTGAGTATGCGGGTTGGGAATTGGTATGTGTGTGTGTGTGTGTGTGTGTGTGTGTGTGTGTTTGTGGTGGGAAATGGAATATTCAGGAAGGTGGCAGAAGAGGGAGGATTAAACTTGGTGTTTCTTTGACTCCCACTGCAGTGATCAGCGCCTCCTGTGGCCCACAGGGGAAACAGCAGCCCTGGCTTCCCAGCCTCAGTCGGTCCCCGCTCCCGCCCACCTCCTTGGTGATGTTTCTGAAGCTGCTCAGTCCTCCTGTAATTGCTTGTGCTCCTTTGGGCATCTCCAGGCTTCTTGTTGGATTCTGGCTTCTGCAGAGGTAAGGTCAAGTGAAGGATGTAGACTTGCAGTGTGGATGGCTGGATGCTCATGTCACAGGAGTTTTGGCGGGGGGGTTAGATTGGACCTGACAATCACCATGGAGGCCTCCAAATTCCCGGGTTAGGCCCTCTGGCAAGACTGCAGCAAGGGGTGCTGGACCAACATGAAGGGCACAGAGGACAGTCCTGTGGGGGAGAGGCTTGAACCTGCACTGTGAAGTCAGAGGGGCCAGGACATTGCATTGTCCTCGTGACTTAGGCAATGGGTGACTATACATGGAGCATCTTCCTTTGGCTTCACTGTACCTTGGAAAGGGACAAGGTAGGATCCAGCAGTCCCCAGAGCTTCTGCTGGGTGGCTTTGCCCAGAGGAGGGCTCTCTATTCTCCACTCTACTGGGGACATCTGCAGAGAGGCTGGCAGGGAATAAGCTATTCAGTTCCACTCAGAGTTCTTTTCCAAACTCATTCCAGGGTGTCTAGTAGGATCAGTGTTCAAAACTAGTGACTGTTTTGAATGTGTAAGGGCTTAGCCATTGCAGGAAGAGGGGGCAGGGGTAATCATCTAATGAGCACAGGCCAGGGACTTTCCAACAACCCCTGCCTCCCACACACTCAGGCTCTGTCCCCATCCCACACTGAGCCCTCTTCTCCCTGACTCTTGCCCCACAGGACTTTTATTCTGAAAGGACCAACGCCCCTGGAGGTGGGGACGTGTCCAGAGGCTGGAGCTGGCCCTGACCCTGAAGAGGCCCAGCCCTCTGGGCTCTTTTCCAAGGTATTCTGGGACCCTCAGGGAGGGGCCTTGCTGTTCTTACTTCTCCCTCTTACCCTCGGCCCCGCCTTGCTGGCCCTCAAGCAGAGGATCCCTCTAGCCAGGCATGTCAGTCTTCTCCCTACTGTTGCCGTCACACCCCCATGTCCCTCATCTTCCTAGCCCTTGGCCTTGTATTTTCCATCTGTTTCCCTTTTCAATCTTTTCCAGCCTTCTTGCTGCCTATCCTTCCCAAAGCAGACACGGAGTCTAGGTCACTATTCCGAAGCTTCATAACCTCCTCTGACACTAGACAAAGGTCTCACCCTGTCCCATCCGACTTCCCCAAAATGTAGCATGGAAATATAAGATAGCCAGGATTCACTCAGACATTGGTACATGTGGTCTGTTGAACTCTGTGTGGGTGAGGCCTTGCCTTGGGCCGGGTTCTGCTGAGCACATGTGGCTTTCTTGAGAATAAGGACAGGAAACAGACAAAAGACTCTACCAGTAGTTCCTGTTTAAATTCTTGAACCCCAATTTTCCGAAAGTTCCACCAGGACAAAATTCTCACTTGTCCCCCAAAACTCAAAGCTTAGTTCTTTCTTAGATGGAAAATAAGGGACCAAATGAACTAAAGAGAGTTGAGATCCATTGTTCTCAAGGGGTCTTTCCCCTTTGCCCAGTTCTTTCGTCCAGGAGGCCAGACCAGGAATTGGATCTGAGGCCACTACTGAGCAATGGAGTGTGAGGAAAAAGGACTTTGGCCCGGGGGCTGCAAGTTATAGATTAACATGGGGAGGGGTGAGGAGAGACCTGGAGGCAGAGTAAGTGGCCCGAGAAAGGGACTGCTGACCTGGGACAATCTGGCCTTGAAGGGTTATGAGCAAGAGGAGTCTGGACACCAGTGCAGTCTGGAGGGGCCCTCAGCTCTCCTCTGGCTACTTGACCTTCCTGAAGACCTGCTCGCACACTGCATCCCTTGCAGTCAGTTCCTGGGGACAGAGTAGGAATAATGAGGAGAGAGAAAGAAGGTTCTTACCAGCCAGAGTTCCTTTCTCTAGGTCCCTGAGCTCTGTTTAATCCTTCAGGATACAACAGCTAGAGCATTTGATGTATGGGGAATTGTATCATTGTCCCACACCTTCAACTTTTCACCCCAGAGGAAGGAAGGGAGCTGGGTCACGGAATGTGAAATGGCTAGTCTCCATCTTTGGTCACAATTTATGGACATTCATCGGACTTGTAGCCAAGGCCCAACTGGCCCCTGTATTTCTTCCTCTCTCTACTCTTCCCAGGGCTTTTGTTTTCTTTTCTTGGTTGTCCTCCTTGGAGGGGGGCAGTGAGTAGAGTAGGGGACTGATTTGATTTGGGCAAGGGGATGAGTCCTAGCTGGAGGCCCCTCTCCCAATCCTCACCCAGCTTACCAGATACAACTTCTCTCCCTCCAGCCAGTGTCTCCAGCCTCGGTTGGGGACCTCCCCTTTCTGCACACATACCAGCTGCTCCTCCTCCCAGGTTACAATGGTCTATAGGGAAAGCAGGAATAAGGGAAGATTTGGGGGCAGAACACCCCAAATGCAGCCAACTCACTCTGGCTGGGCTGCCCCCCTCCCTTCACACCACAGCTGATACGGTCTTGCTCCAGCCCCTTCATTCTGAGTAAGATGACTGCTCTGAGTCAGCAGGACTCCCCTCCCCAACTCCCAAAGGCCACTGAGGGGGGCCCATAGTTCGTCTACAGTGACTACTAGGGCAGAGCAGGGATGGAGCAGGATAACCGAGGCAAAATTGGGGGTGGGTGGGTGATGAAGAACAAAGACTTGGTCCTTTGGATACTTCCAGCTGGACTGGAGGGTCTTTTGGGAAAGAAGAGGATTGGTTGGAAGTCCCATCAGGGAATCTCTTTCTCAGTTTCAAGGACAGCTGAAGTGTCCCTGAGAGTGAGGGATCACCCTCCCCTCTCTGAATCAGAGTGGGGTGGGCCTGGGTATTCCAACCGGCATTTATTAAATCCTCCCAAAGGATAGGCCTGCTAACCAAGGAGCTCAGACTCTTGGTCAGACAGAGCAGAAAACAGGTGCCTGTGATGCCAGGCAAATGTTGGGCATGGGAATGGGGAAGCAAGAGCTGAGTCTTCAAGGAAGTGAGGAGTTAGTTAGATTGGAGATACTGGGCAATTTCTAGCAAGGAAAGGAACAGCATAGAGGTAAGAAAGAAGGTCACATGGTTGTAAGGGGCTCTAAACTAGAGTGTTTGCGGGAAAGACCCTTGTATGCCACGGACCTCATCTGGAATGTAAGGAATTGTCACTGAGAGGGTTTCATTCATGATCACTTTTACATTTTAGGTAAATCCTTGTGGCTACAGTATGCAGAGTGGGTTAAAGAAGGATTAAGACTGGGAGGGCCAGATTCAGGCACCAGGCGAGAAATGAGGGCTTGAATGAAGGTGGCACTAGAGAAAGGCTAGGAAGAATCAACGGTGGAAATATAATGGGCCATAAACACAAGCCACATTAGAAAATGCAAGATTCCCAGTAGCTGTGTTAGAAAAGGAAAAAGAAACAAGTGAAATTAATTTTAATGATATATTTTATTTAACCTGGAATATCCAAAATATCATTTCAGCATGTGATTAAAACTGAGATGTTTTACATTTTTTGGTATTGTCTTAAAAACCCACTATGTATTTTACACTTTTTTTTTTTACGATTTTATTTATTTGACAGAGAGAGACACAGTGAGAGAAGGAACACAAGCAGGGGCAGAGAGGGGGGGTGAAGGGGGCTCGATCCCAGGACCCTGGGATCATGACCTGAGCCGAAGGCAGACGCTTAACGACTGAGCCACCCAGGTGCCCCTGTATTTTACACGTAAAACATACCTCAGTTTGGATTAGTTGCATTTCAAGCATTCAAAGGCCATATATGGCTAGTAGCAACTATACTGGACAGTGAAGAAAAGTTATAAAGACTTCTTGACCAACTAGATGTGGTGTGTGTGTGTGTGTGTGTGTGTGTGTGTGTTTTGGGATGCAGGGGTAAGGGGACAGAAGATACTGCTCTGACTCCCAGGTCTCTGGTCTAGCTGGTTATTGCCATTAATGAAGACAGTAAATATAAAAGCAGGAATAGTTTGGGTAGGAAGATAATGAATTTGGCTTCGAGCTTGAGGCATGCAGATGGAAACATTGTGTTGGCAGATGAAAACTCCACTGTGGAGCTCAGGAGGCAGCTCTGGCCGGAGAATCCATGTCAAGGACAGTTTTATAGATGGTAGCAGAAAGCATGGGTATAGATGATTTAGCCCATTTTTTCCTGTACAGACAAAAGAGAGGAAGTCAAGAACAAAATACTGGGGGAAACCCCAATTAAAGGGTTTAATAGGAGAGCTAGGGTCTGCAAAGGAGACCAAAAAGAAGGCATAAGAAGCAGAAATAGAGGAGAGTGGACTCATAGAGGCTAAGGGAAAAGAGACTCTACAGTGACCAACAGGGTCACAGGCTAGAGGGTGAGCAAATATTTCTTCTTTGGACTGAGGGTGACCTGCCCTTTTTGTCCTTTTGGCTGGCAATAAGTGGGGGCAGGAGAGAGCGAGTTGCAGGACTGTTAGCTTGGGGACTCTGCAGCCTGCTGTAGTGATCACTTTTCTCTGGCTCTGGCTGGGAAAGGTCACTTCGTTTTGCCCCAGATTGTTAAGAGGCTCACCCACGTGCCCTCCCCGAAGCCTGAGGAAAAGTACCTGGCATTTTCGTCCATCCACGATCCTTAGATCCTCCTCAAACTCAACTCCCACCTCGAATTCCAGAATGTAGTTGCGGAACGTGCTGAGGGTCTTCACTATCATGTGGTTGCCCTGATGGTCAATCTCCTTGTCTGGTTTGAGCAGCAATGCTATCTTCCGCAGAGCCATGCTGATGTCTGGGGTGGGGGTGGGGGGCTATCTCTTAGCGGGGCTCCTTCAAGCCAGCCAGGGGCTCCCCCACCCGCAGCAGCACCACGGGGCTGCGGGCTGCCCCTTAGCTGGGTCTGAGACTGTAGACTGACTCTTCCTACCAATGCCCTGGCTAGAAATGGATCCCAAGTCAGGTGCCACCACCTGAACCTTTCCACAGCATCCAACCCCAGCAGTCCCTTTTCTCAATGGGATAGAGAGACAGGGAGGGAAAGGGGAAAGGGGGAATGAAAAGGGTCTGGGAGGGTGAGGCCATTACTTAGGGCTTGCAGGTAGTCCTCCATGTTCTTCTGTGAGACAAAGCGGTAGTAGCCGGTGAGGTTGGGAGGCATTGTCTGGGCTGGCCAAGATGGAGATGGAGATCTCAGGAGAATATAGCCGGCAGGGTGTGGAGGGAGTGGGTGCTGTCTGGCAGGTGAGGCTGAGAGACTCCTGGCTAGCCTAGACACACACACACACACACACACACACACACACACACACACACACACAGGCTGTGTAAAGGTCTATGCTTACCAGCATTTTTATAGGGCTGGGCCCTGTTGCAATAAGAGTTCCTACCAGACTTCCGCCCTCCTCCCATAATGAGTATGGGGCTGGTGCCTGCAGCCTGCGGGAGGGGTAGGAACTTGGCAGCTTGGTGCCTGACCTTGGCTTTTCCTGAGGAAGGAACCTAGAGCAGGATCTGGGGCTGTCAGTCATCCAAGACTTGAGCCTTTTCGAAGGTCAGTTTTGGCTTTCAGCCCATTTCCAGCAGGCTTGGGAAATGTCCCAGAGCTCTGAGGGGGGCAGTCTCCCCTGGGAGAGGTCTGGTCTTGCTGTGTGGAGTGGGGACTTCCAGGCTTATCCAGGGATGAGTTCTAACAATATCCTGAGATCCTAGGACTGAGTCAGGATCCTGAAAGGTATGAGGAGGAAGCGGTGGAGAATGATGGGGGATAGTCTGCTGGCCAGGAGCCACGGTGAAAGAGATGCTCTAGTGCTGCGTCCCACAGCTCCCTCAGACAGCTTCGCTGAGTTGGGTCCCTGACTCTGGCATTCCAAACTCTTTGTCCTATAGGGCCATCAGGAAGGAGGCAGAGAAACTGCTCTTCCCAAGCACAGAAGGGGTTGTCAGCTTGATGAGGTGTTGAGTTCAAAGTCTGGGGCAGAAAGTGAGGGAGGAGTTTGGTTGGCTATTCTGGAAAATTTTGGCTTGGGACCCAGGGGTTTCCCTCTCCCTCTGAAGTCACTGATGGTACCATCACCTCCAGTTCCCAGCCTTTGGACAGCCCATGCTTACCAGATGTATTACCATGGTGGGGGCTGCCACCTTCACCCCCACCCCCTTCTGTCTCTCTCCCTCAAACCTACCAACTTCCCTGGCTTCAGAATCAGCTGAGTTGGTTCATCATGGTTTAAGATGGGAAATTCGGGGAGACGGAGACAGGGAGCCTAGGCAGTGGAAAAAATCCCACCTAGGAGTGAATTGTTCGGACAGGTGTGTGTGGGTGTGTGTGTGTGGAATCTCTCACTCTTCCTCCAGTCCCGGAACCCTTTCTACCTCCCTGCTGACCATCCCATGGTTTCCTCAGACACCTGGGGCTGGGAATGGAAATGCTAGGATCTTTTGGGTTCAGGCTGTGGGTTTTGCTTCAAGGCTCCCAGGAGGCACGCAGCAGGGACCTGCTGATGGGCTGGGCTGTGAAAAGAGGTTAATGCAGAGTTGGTTGTGGGGGGGGGGGCCAGGAGGGTGACGTGATACTGCCCCTCCTCGCCTCCCTTAGGTCTCCGTTGACGTCTCCCTTTCCCACCCCCGGGCTTCTAGCTTCTCCATTCTCCCAATGTCCCTCTTATTTCCCACCCCCTCTACGGTTTTCCAGCTTCCGCCCCAGCCCCCGCAGTTCCCTTGCTCCCCCAAATCGCAGTCTAGGGAAAAAGCCCTAACACAGTCTCCCGCCCCTGCTCCCCAGTCCCATTGGCGCCCTCCCCCCCCTGCAGCACCTGGCCCCCCCAGCCACCCGATTGGCCAGCGGCCCCATCAGTCCTCGCCGGGCCGTGCTGACGTCATCCTGCAGTAGCGGGGATGGGGTGGGAATGAGGGAGAGAGTGAGGACGCCCGGCTCAAGAGCGAACGAGAAGCCACTGCAAGTCCCCCACCTCAGCCACCCAGGTTGGGGACTGACTAGGTCTGCTCTATGGACTAGTGTGGGCGGCTGGCTCTTTTCTCTCCCTGCCCTGTGGCCCACTATCTTCCCTCCCCTCCTTGGAGAGCCCCTGCATCCCTCCCCCAAGGTGGAATCAGCCGGCTGGAGGCTCCTGGGGGAGAGCAATCGCCTGGCCCTGCCGTGCCCTGCCCACACCACACCATGACCCTTCTGCTGTTGCCCCTCTTGCTGGCCTCCCTGCTCCCCTCCAGCTCCTGTAACAAAGGTGAGTGAGGTGGGGGAGGGGGGCACTGAAAGAGGGGTATCCGGCAGAGCCATGTGGGGGTGGGGGTGAGCAGGGGCTGTTGAAGCTCTCTGGCAAATGACAGGTGTGGGTTCTTCCCATCCGTTTTTGGAGAGCTGCCCCCTTCTCTCCCTCACATCCCCTTCCGCACATCATCCTCTCTGGGCTGTTTCTACCCAGTGCTTCTCTGGCTCCCATAGGGTCCTCATTTCCATCCTGGGGTCTCTGTCTCCCCCTCCTCCAGTTTCTGCCTGCGGGAGAAATCTCAGGTCTCAAAAGGACTTGCCCCTGAAGGGTGACAGGCATCTCTGGATGGTTCTCTGTGTTCACTGGGGTGTGCCCGCACTAAGGGTGTGTGGCAGATCCATCTGGCTCATCTCCATCCCATCCTGGGGAGAAACAGTTCCTTGCAGCTCAGCAATTCGGAGCACGTATGTTTTGGCGTGTTCCTCTGCATCCCTACCCTGCATACAGCTGGGCTGAGGGTTACCAGAGCTGCCCTCTCTGGCAGACAGCAGAGAAATTCAGCTGGGTGAGGCCAGCACAGGGACCAGGGCGGAGGGGGCAGGGAGAGAGGGGTTGGGGGAAGAGGGCTCAGGTGGGTGGAGAATGGCAGGTAAGGGAAGAAGTGGGTGTGTGTGGGGGGGTTGCTAAATGAGTGGTGAGGGGGAAAGCTGAGAAGGACAAGGGAGATGAGGCGTGGGAGGGGGATGAGAAGGAGGGTAAAGAGGGTAAAGGTGGAGGCAAAAAAAAAAAAAGAGAAGATTGAAAGGGGAGTCAAGAAGAACAGGTGAGGAGAGGGGGAAGGGAAAGTCAAGGAAGGAAGGGCAGGGAGCCAGGAGTGAGTGAAGGAAGTGAACACATGGAGAGTCTGTGGCCAAGAGGAGAGGAACAGGGAGACCTGGGGGCGAGCTGTGGAGAAGGTGCCCAGCATTGGCCTTGCTGCTCTGCAGCCCCTTCATCTTCAGGCTGTGGTTCCTCACCTCAGTCTCTGACCTCAGCCCAGCTTCTTAGCCTCCTGCCACTTCCTGTGCTTGCCTTCTGAGCACCATCTTGTGGCTTTCTCCTCTGCCATTAGAGAAGGGGGTTTTGGTGGTCATCTGCAAGAAAGGGGCAGGCATTCGGGTACCAGAAGGGTTTTAGTGGTGTGGTTGGAGGAAAGATAGGAAATCAGGATTTTTTATTCACCGTCACATACTGGGCATGTTTCCTTTTGGTGACTCAGTTTCCCTCTGATGATATGTCTTCCTCCACCCATGTTCCACTGACAGGCCGTCATGAATGTGCTTTGGGAGGTTGGTGGTTGGCATGGTGGGATTAGATAGAGCAAGCAGTGGCAGTTGAGGTGGGGGGTGGTTTAGAGGGGAAGGGAAAACACTGTGCCTTCCCCATAGCCCCTCCCCAGGCTAATGGGAGGTCGGTCCTGGGGAGGAGACACAATTGAGTGAGCTGAATGTGGCAGGAGATGGGGAAATCTAGAGGCTGAGTGAGTCCCGCAACCCTCCTGGTTGGCTGGTGGCTGAAGGGAAGAGGGGTGGGGTAGGCAGGAAGTAGGACTAAGTCATGAGTCTATAAAAAGTGGGGTTTAGGGAGTGTGGGGTTTGGTGGTCTTGTGGGGGACACAGAGATGTGCTGGCTATGAGTGTGCTCTCTTGGCTGTAGGGATGGGAAGCAGGGAGGGGATTTGTCCTGTTTCTAGGCCAGTTCAATAATCCCTTAGGATGTCGGCTGTGCTGGGTCCACTCATTTGGCATTGATCTCTCTGCTCCATCCCTGCCCCTCTCTGTCCCCCTCCTTCTGTCCTATATTTTCCCTTCTCTTAGGATGAATGGACTTAGGTTGGGGCTTGGCTGGGAGAAGTGCAGAGTGGAGAGATCAAGACTGAAATGGGGTGATGGTGGTGGTGGAGAGGGTAAACACTCAGGATCCCAGGAAACATCTAGATCTTCTTTTTCTGATCTCAACTCTGCCCTTAATCTATGCCTTTCCTTTCCCAGGGCCTTCTGATGGCCCACCACTGCTCCCTGAATCTCCAGTCACCACTCTCTAGCACTTGAAATCCCTAAAAAATTCTTCACCTCTGACCACATTTCCTAGGGGAGATAGTGGTCCCCCTCCACCCCCAGGGTAGGCTGTTGCCACAGAAACTACCAATCCTGCCCTAGGAGAAGGCTGTGACCTCTCCCAGACCCTCTGACTCCTTTAATGCTGATTTCTTGTCCTCAGCCCTTCCTCCTGCAGGTGTTTCTGCAGCGGGTGGAAAGGGTGATAATGCTGGAGTGTGTGTCTGGGTTGTGTGGGAGTGGAGAGCCAGCTCACAGGCGCTTCCTCTTCTCTCCCTGGGTGGGGGTCAGCCAACAAACACAAGCCATGGATCGAGGCAGAATACCAAGGCATCGTCATGGAGAATGACAACACGGTCCTGCTGAACCCACCACTCTTTGCCTTGGACAAGGATGCCCCCTTGCGCTATGCAGGTGATTGGGGTTGAGGGATGGCAAAGCGGGTAGGACAGAGAAAAGTGGTTGGGAAGGCAGAGGGCAAAGGAGGAGAAGGGAGGAAGTCCCCAGAGGGAGAGCAGTGGAAGTGGGGAAGAGGTCTTGGCAAAGTTGTAGAAGTAGGCCTAAGGATGGTGGCTGAGTAAAGGGAGCCAGAGAGAAGGGCATGGGCAGGCAGGGGTTAACCACAACAAGATTTTGTCAGATCTCAGACCCAGTAGCTCTGAGAGGTTGCAGCTCCGGGAAGCTGGTGTTGGAGCTGTTACCTCTGATAATTAACAAATTCACATTTTCACATATGCAAGAGAAGGGCTGGGGTTTGGAAGGAGAGGTGAAGCCGAACCTGAGGCAGGGAGGCTGAGGCTGGGAAGAAGATGCTGGAAGTGGCAAAGGAGAAGGAGCCTCATCCCTCCCTCCCCCCTGGGCCAGGTGAGATCTGTGGCTTCCGGCTCCACGGGTCTGGGGTGCCCTTTGAGGCTGTGATTCTGGACAAAGCAACTGGAGAAGGGCTGATCCGGGCCAAGGAGCCAGTAGACTGTGAGGCCCAGAAGGAGCACACCTTCACC